AGATGAAAGGAAAACGACTTGGGTGACACTGACGTCACTTGGGAAGGAGTGTCAGCGGAACGACGCAGGATGACCTTTCCTAACTGGCGCGGCGACAGTCTGAAATGATGGAAGTGCTGAGGAGCTGGGTCGATGGAATCGAAGCAGTGGCTCCTGTCGCGACGTTCCCGGAAATCGAAAACTGGAGCTATGATGGTCTGTGCCATAGCTGGGATAGTAGTGTGGGTGGTCACGACGCCTTTACGCAATGTGGGATGGGCTTTCAGCGCGAGCCTGGTGGACTGTGGTTCCACTATCTGCTTCTTTTTGTATACCTGTAGGGACCGATTTGTCACTACCGTCCGGGGTGCCAACGCTCAAGAGCTGCTCCCCCCGAGAATATGCGTGCACTTTGGTCACGCTGATGTTCCTCGTTCCCATGGCGGTGTTACGAAAGTATGAACCCCGCTTCGGCATTTTTGGACTGTTGTGTCTCAGATGGTGTGAGGCTTGGCACCACTCGATCTGTCTCTTCGTTCCCGATGTGATGCAACTGGTGTGGACGTCGTGCTGTCGTTACACGAAGGCGATAGCTGAGGCTACAGTAGCCTCGATCGATCGAGTGGGCGAGTACCTGATGGGCGTGTGTCTGGTGGGGCAACTGTTGTTATCCCTTGTGTTCTACCTGCCGAGAGTATTCTACGAAGGCGTGGAAGGTGCCCTATGTGGTTGGATGGGTGTTGCCTTGGTTACTCTCATGGTGGACATGATACTGGAATTCTCGGTCGCGAGTCTCATTGGGAACGTGTTCGTCCTGGTACTGGGTTGTTATAGCCACGCTACGAAGTACTACTGGGCGTCGAGGGTGAAGACTGTCGACGGTTCTGGAATTGAGGCCGCACAGAAGGGTTGGGCTAAGCTTGAAAGTCGAAAGGAACTACGAGAAAAGAGAGAGAGAGCTAGCCTCGACCATTTGCGTGCAGGTCCTAATGATACGGCCCCTGTGGCGCTAGGAAGTTCGGATTCGACTTCGATTGGAACGAGGTCGATCGTTCCAGATCTGCCGGTCGACTCGGCGATTGGACCTGCTGGAAAGGATGAGGCTCGGCGAGGACTCCGAGCTGCAGTCGGGGAGAAATGTCACGGTCTTCGGCTAGAGGAAGGACTCGCTATTCTGGACGACTGCCTACGGCAATTTAGCGAACGGCGTAAGAAGAGTGTCAAGCCCGATCAGCCCCGTTCCCCGTCATCGACTGCCTCGTCCCTCGTCTAAAATGGAACGAAGGAGTTCAGACAGTGGTACGCTGACTCCGTTTACGAACGACAACTCGAGGTACTAGTGTTGGTAGGAGGTACTTTGGCAAGGTAGAGAGCTGGTGAGGGAGCTCCTAGTCGTGAATTTCCTTCTTTTACGAGAAGTGCTCAAGAAAACAAATAAGAAACAAGTATATTTTACACATCTAATAATGTCTAAGTTCCTACGTCGGCTTTCACAAGATACACGACCCCGACAAGAGAAGGAGACCGCGACAGCAGTGTGGCCA